ACATGAGGTCTGAGGGGGGCGTGGTGGGGGGGGGTGGGGGGGGCCAGTAGAGGCATCACCTTTTCTTGAAAGGACGCTTCCGGAAGGGTGTTTAGTGATTTTTGTATTTTGCTTTTATTTCATTATGCTGTCCATGCTTGTTTGGACGTTAATTGCAACAAAAGGACGTGAGGTCAGTCATGTACGATCTCACCACATCTGCGTAACAATCTGGATCCACCTCTGTGCGTATCAACACAATATTAACCATGAGGCTGCTGCTCTCCAGGGACTCACTGGGCAGGTAATGTAGCACATAGAACATAAATATGCCAGATAGAGTCGTGGCATACAGCGAAGACTCTCTCCGAGTTAAATGTACAGTAGAAGGGGATCTGCCTCCGATAGGACCTGTGTGAGGTTTAGTTATTGCTCTGCTCGGCCCTGTAGCTCGCTGTGAGGCAGCGCAGCCTTGAGCACCGAGGATTATTGTCCACACAGCAGAATTGATTAGGCAGGAGATGGTATTACTGCCCGCCTGGGTGGGAGGAAGGAAGACGGTAGTCAAACAAGGGGACAGTGATAGAAAGAGGGGGGGGGGGGTGTTGGGAGGGGGGGGGGGACGGGGCGCGGGGGGGGGGTGGATGTACGATAAATGTAAGCGCTGTACTGTTACCGGGGTGGGGGTGAGGTAGAATTGTGCCTCGCAACATGTCTCCCCCAATTCGTGCCTCTTTCCGTGCCCCAGAAATAAAGGAACCTAGTCAACCACAGCAGTTTTATGAATTGAAACTGTGCATGTGTGTGTGTGTGTGTGTGATTGTGTGTGTGTAGTGTGTGTGTAGTGTGTGTGGTGTGGTGTGTGTGGTGTGTGTGTGTGTGTGTGTGTGTGTGTGTGTGTGTGTGTGTGTGTGTGTGTGTGTGTGTGTGTGTATCCGGATGGCAGGGAGATGTACTCATGTAATAAAGCACGGTATAGGACAGGCGCACCATGGCTCCTGCTATATGTTTTTGGGCGCCACATTTCAAATGGATTTTTCGGCGTCTGTGTTTTACCACAATATCCAGATACGTTCGGCTCGCCCAGCCCGCCACATTGACTTGTGCCCCCTCCCTGTCTCCCCCCCTATCACTTGATCTATGTCTCAGTCACCCTAAATCAACCAGAGGGGGACATATCAATGCAGAGCAACGACATCGCAGGTTCTGCATTGATATGTCCCCTCTTGGTGGATTTAGGGTGACTGGAGACATAGATCAAGTTGATAGGACAGGAGGGGGCACAATCAATGTGGCGGAAGCTGGCGGAGCCGAACGTACTGGATATGTGCTAAAACTACAGACCGCCGAAAATCCATTTGAAATGTGGGCGCCCAAAAACCATTATAGCTAGGAGCCATGGTGGCGGCCGTCCTATACCGGTTGTAATGAGTACATC